AGACAAACAATTGCACACAAAAATAATTTACCTTAGAGTTAAGGCATTCACTCTCTAACGGAATCACTTTATATTCTGACAAATGAAGTTTTTCCTCCGCTCTCTGTGTCTGTAATAATAATAATAATAAATTATTTTAAATTCTAATTAATAGTATAGTCAATAAAATAATGCATACATTTTCTCTTTCGTTTATTATATGGATTTGCAATTTTTGTTTCTCGGCTTCAAAGTAGTAAACTTGTCGCTCATATTTGCAAACAATTTCTAGAAAATTAATTGGCCATTTTAAAACACAATAAAATCTATGTATTGGTAGAAATGATATATAGGTAGCCTACCTATCAAGCCGTGTACATACGTAATAGTCTTTGAACATGATTTTATATGTAGGCTACCTATATATAATTTATACCAATGTTTTATTACCTCTTAAATCTCTTTCTTTTTTCTTTGAAGTAAATATTGAAACAATAATTTTCATTAAACTCCAATTGAAACCTATTATGAATGTAAATACAAGCACTTGTGCGGAGATGTTATACTGCTTTAGTATCAGTTCAATATCATCGGGAATTATATCACTGATTACATCTGTAACTACCATCGCATCCAAACCCAACCAATCAAAGAATCCCTTCGATTCTGTCTGTGCATCACTTTTATACTGATTCTCCATTGGATTTGTATTTTCTTCATTTGAAACGCTTTTATCCGACAATATTTGTTCGTTTTTTACATCACTTTCAATGTTATAATTATTATCGTTTGAATTCATGATGACATCAATATTATTGTCTTCCGATTCCTCACTCGTCGACTCTTTTAAGGAATTGTTTTCTAATTTATCCGTCTTTTCATTCAACTCGTCATTTGTTCCTAAATTCGGTTCATTAGAAATATTATTCTTCACATTCTCTTCAATTGACTCGTTTTCTTCTGGGATTAAGTTATCATTATTTGTTGCGTTTGTCTTCTCATCAAATATTTGCTCTTCAGTTAAATTCTTTACAAAATCTTTGCCAATATTTTCAGTGATATTTTGATTTAAATCCAAATTATTTTCTGTTTTGTTTTCAATCAATTCGTGTGCCTCTGTATTAGATTGGGTTTTATTTTCCTCAATGCTATCGTTTCTAATGATATTAATTGGATCTAAATTTTCTGATATTTGCTCCGTGTGTTCACTACTACTGGTCACTGAGTGTTCAGTAGTTTTATTTATTTCACCGAAAGTCTTCTCATTATTGTCAGCATTTTCAACATTTAAGTCATGGGTTTTGTTCAATACTTCAGTTGAATTGTTTAAATCAGTATTAATTTTACTCAATTCAATAGTTTTGTTCACTTCTTTAATAGTTTCCACCGAGTCTTCAATTGCTTCATGCAATTCACCAATAGTTTCGTTTATATCTATATTTGTTTTATTGGTCTCTTCAATAGTATCTTTCAATTCTCCATTAGTTTTATTCAATTCTTTATTAGTTTCCTCAGAATCTTCACTAACTTTTTCAGTCTTTTCTGAATCAACAAAACTTTCCTTTAAGTTTTCTTTAGGCTCTTCTAGATTGGTATCGATTCTTAAGTTTTCAGTCATATTCTCTAACGGTTTATCTGTTTTGTCGATTACATCATTTGGTTGCTCTACTTCTGTGTCAGATTCTTCTACTTCTGTGCTAATATTCACTGAATTTTCTCCGCTTTTAGTTAATTCTTCATTAATTTTATTGGAATCTTTCGATTTATTCAAATTAGTATTGATTTCATCAATGCTTTCACTTGTTTTATTCGTCTCAACATTAGTTGTATTCAAGGAATTACTTGTTTTATTCAATTCATCGGTTAATTTATTTGATTCACTATTGATTTCATCATTGCTTTCACTTGTTTTATTCGAGTCTTCGGTTAAGTTTTTCAAATCACTATTGATCTCAACATTGCTTTCAATTGTTTTATTCGACTCAACATCAGTTGTATTCAAGGAATCAGTTGTTTTATTCGAGTCTTCGGGCAATTTATTCAAATCACTATTGATCTCATCATTGGTTTTGTCTGTTTTATTCAACTTATCGTCAGTTATATTCGGGGTTTTGACATTCAATTCATCGCTGTTTTCCTCCGAAACATCAATAACTTTATTCTCTGTATCGTTAGTTTTATCTGAAGTATCAATAGTTTTATTTATTGGTAAATCACTTCCAGTATCTAAAGTGTCGTTTGGTTTTAAATCGACTTTAATGGCAGTGTTATTAGTATTAGAACTTTCATCGGAGATATCAGTTTCTGATAACTTATTATCGTTGGAATCGTGAGGAATATTGGATGAGTCGGCATTAGGCTTAGAGCTATCATTAAGAATCGGTTGGATGTCTTGTAAAATGGATTTGTTATCATTTTCAATAACATTATCAACTGATTTCACTTCACTACTGTTATCTACTACTTCGACATCATCTGCGATGTCATTATTTTGTCTCTCATTCGTCACATCTTTTGTCTCATTTTCAATAATACTTTTGTCTTCATTTGGAGCAGAAATTGTTGAAGGATTTAATTTATCCATTGATTCCAATGTATTGTCCGATTGATTGGTCACCAATTGATTATCTGTATTACTGTTAAAGTCATTGTTTGGTTTAACTTCTGTAATATTGTCTAAATTAAGTTCAATTGTAGCCGATTTGGTGGCAGTCATGGGTTGGGTCTGTATAACGGGAGAAGTAACCAAATACATGTCCATATCCTCAGCAATGAAAGAGGTGCCGTCGATAACAGTGTACTTGTCTTGTGTCGGTGTCTTTGTCTGTGATTCAAACGATTCTTCACTCAATGAAGAATATATGGGCGATGACTGTGTACTCAAATCGATGGCACTTTTCTTCTCTTCTAGATCTGCATTTTCATTGTTTAGACCTTTGTTTGACTCATTGGTCTTAACCGTATCATTGATTTTGACCACAATATTAGGATCTTTAATCAAAATTAGTTCTTCTCTTATATGAGATATCGGAGCAAATCCTCGCTTTCCCTCAACCTATAAATCAATACAATTTACAAATTAATTCATTATATAATTAACTAATATATAATCATTTATAAGTACTTCAATGTCTAAAAGCTTTCGGTCTTCAGTTCTGCCAAAAATGGTAACTTTGAGGTCAGAGGCAAATGAAACCATATTTGCATCGCCTTTGATGTACTTAAGAGCTGTCTTTCCGTAAGCGATGGGAACTGTAATGAAGAGTCAATTAAAACAATTAGTAAATGAAAATGACATTTAATTGAAGACAATTATAGCCAAACCCTTGCACTCAATATCGCCGCAGATCTTGTTTTGTGGCAAAACTTTGCCATAATTTGTGTCCGTTTTAACAGTTATTAAAAACAAAATTATAATACATTTAATTGAAACAAAATTTGATAAAATTAACTCAATTTTTGATAAATATTTCATTATTTCATTGCAATTATGACTGAAAACGGATGAGAAAAAGGAGGAAAAATTGAAAATTAAAAATATATATCAAATAAATTGACACAAAATTTAATGCATTATTATTTGTTTTCTTCGATTAATTAATACTAAGTATTATTAATTAATTATATATTAAAAGTTAATTAAAATTAATATTAAATCCAATGTAATGTTTCATTCACGTCACCATTCAATACATGCATTCATTGATGTAATTATTAAGTATTTGTTTTGCTTTTCATTCAAATGTCTATTCATTTGCACCAAAACTGTCGACACTTTTAAGTAATCAAATAATTTGTAAAATAATTTGTAAAATAAATTGTTGTCAAAAATAATTGTGTTATAAATGTGTGAATCAATTGAGTGTTAAATCAATCAAAACAGTTGTGAATGTGTTGTGAATGTGATGTGTTGTGGCCTTCACTGCATTACACACCAAATGTTTACACGTCTGGCGTTGGGATGAGAGACAGACACTGGAAGTACAGTCACTCTACCGGTAGTTATGCTGTACTCTAACTATTACTAAATATATTCACTTAATAATCATGATTAAAGCATTAATACAGATATTATATATGTATTTATAATTAGTTAAGTATGTTATATAATATTTACTAAAAGTAGTCAAATATTTAGTTATAATTTTTTTAATTTTACGTATAAATTAAGCACACATGTTAATGTTAATGAATTCCGTGTGCATTATAACTAGCGGTAATAGACAAATATTGTCAAATTCTCAAGTTTAACTCATTTTTACACAAATTTCCTGAAGATTGCTGGAGAAATATAATGACTGAATATAATTAATAAATCAGTATTTTTTCGATGTTTGTCTCCCATCTCCTTAACTAAAATTCAAATTCAATGCATTTCTGGGAATATTCTATACTCTAATTATGACAATCTGTTGATAACAGAATTTATGTAAAATAATTAATTTTACATACTTATGGCACAATTCTTATTGTCCCAGATTACAACACATAATTACCTTAAAGCCTGTATATAGTTTGTAAACTATGGTTTAAATAACATTTATTTTAATAATAATATAATCACTAATAATAATTATTCATTATTGCAAAAATAACCATCATCATTTTTATTTATTCATTTTTGTGTATTGTGTTTTTTAAAAATGTTCCCTGCTCATAAATGCCCGAACAAATACAACAGTATATTTCAATATTTAAAATGCAAGGAATTGCCGGCTTATAAATTGAATTCCTAAACATAATAGTTTTATGAATTATATCAAACCTCTTTGCTAATTGACAAAAATGAATTATTTCAAATGACATAGTATATATTTTAATGTTGATAATATGAACAGACAATTGATCACGTTCAATTTATAAGAACAGTTAAATAATTAAGTAAAACAGGTTTATATTTAGAAAAGTTTTAATGGTTTGGTTAACTTAAAGACTTTATAAATCTTAAGTTAGATGTCATTACTTTCACCACAATTTAGAAAAGTTTTACAAAACTTGTAAGAAATTTAATTTTATTCAAAAACTAATTCAAAGGTTAACCCAATTGAATGAATTAAAAATTTAATTATTTTTAATAGAAAAGTATACTATTATGTAATACTGGTTTAATTGAACATAATTTTATTATTAATAAACATTTTCTATGCATTTAAACATTCATTTACTGTATAAATACAAACAAATCAAAAACTAATTATATTTAACAAATTAATGATTTGTTAACCATTTGATAATTTTTGTTTTGCTATTATTTATTATAAATTTAATTTAAAAAACATATTTAGTTAGTTGATACAACATTAATTTACATGATTTTTTACTAGATTCTGCTATAAATTCACATAACGTTATTTAAAATGTACAAATGAATGAATGTAAAATGTAAAAATGTGACGACACTTTATTTGATAGCCATTTCGGTGGAGAAGTGAAATACAGTGATTGAATTGATGTATATTTTAATCAATATTTACTCCATATTAAATTGCAATGGATTTCAAGGCAAATACTAAGTTTCGTAAATAAAAACACTTTTTCTCAAATGCTATCATAAGATATTCATGTATTTGAGTTCAGAGTCACGAACTCTTTTGGGGTTACATTAGTGGCCAAAATTGAATCTATTTTTGCCATTTTTGACAAAACAATAAATAAAATGTTTATTCAATATTTGTATTTGATTTTTG